TTGACCAATGAGGTGTGCTGAAAGGAAGCGGATCCAACCACAGCGATTCTTCCTCAATTCCAAGTTATGATTTCTCAATTCAAAATGACGGTTTCGCAAATGAAAATTACCGTTTCTCAAATCTAACTTAAAATGGTATAGAACCTTGTGTTCAATTCGAATCAGATGCGAAATTCCAGGAACTCCAATACATTCAGATTATGCGCTATTCAGCGAAATCGCCACATGTCTACACGTCAGTTACAGCCGTTTAAGCAAAGCATGAGTTAGGCCAGTGGTCTCAACAGAGAGTTTAGGGTGTGGGACGACCTTGAGACAAGGGAGTGCATACTACAAATAATGGAGAAAGACCGGACAGACGTAGTTTTATTACGCACACCTGTGTGAGGTACAACAAACGGGGTGGACCCACCGTCACGAATATCTGCTGTTAAGCAATGGCAACCGGCAATGTAAGCTCCGGGGCTGGGAGTAGCGAATCACATAAAGCCCCCACTAGGTCTCTGACGCATGATTTTCGTGCCAGAAATCTCGAAAGATATGATTAGTTAAGATATACAGGTGTTGACCAAACTCGTGCAACATTACCCTCATTTTGGAAATCCATTTCAGCTTGCAATATCATACTTATAAATAGATGGATAGGTTGGCTACCTTGCATTGGTTGCCAGTGGTAAGGATATGCGGTGTATTAGGGAAAGCTTGCAAATTCTGTTTGTCAGTCAACTTGGTGAATTCCATGCTAAAGCGACTGCCTCCAGTGCTCAAAAATGAAGAAGAGAAAATGGAACATGAACGAGATGAAAGTACAATATCTGTACAAAGTTCATGAATCATTTTATTAAATAAAATACAGTTAAGTTTTGTACTGTGACTTTATTATCGTACAACTGATGCACCAGCAACCGTCGTCAAAATCGCGAAATTATACATTTTAATGGCATGTGGCTAATGGAAGCAGTGACATAAGTGCGTATTATGACAGATATGTTGCGTCCGATGTGGGACAATATCATATTCAATCCTCCGTGAATGAGGTTGGAAAAACTAAGCATTGGGAGGAACAAATGTGCAGAAAATCAGCATATTGCACGAGTTTGGTCAATACCTGTATATGGCAAACGGTATGGAGGTGTAAGAGTTTACAACGACACCTGTCTATGTAAGTGGATACACATTGTTTAAAATCTGGGTGAGTGACGTCTGACAGAATATTGTTGCAGAAGTTTTCGTAACAGGTTAAATAATATTCAGCAAATTGCTAAGCGAATGCAAATGGAATGAACATTGCAAGTATGTGAAATAATTTTAACAGACCAGGGGTAGAATTGTGTGGTCTTACTCTAAGAGAGGCATATAGGATTGGGGAAGAGTAAAGATGAGTTCCGACACAAGAATATACAAAGCGGGTGAGTAATTACAATGAAACTTTAAAAATTCGCAAGCGGTAAATAAAAAACAGCCGTCGCATCTTTTCAAAAGTAGAGTTGAAATCTTAAGTCCACGAGAGATCTTGTCTGATAACAACTCCGGGGTATTGTAAGGAACAGACCGGCTATCGACATAGGGTACAGAATAATCTCTTTCAAAAGAATGTAAGAGACATCCTAGTGAAGTGAGATCCCTACCTTTAGAGGCGTTAATAGATAATTTGGAATAGGAAGACCATGAAAGTAAGGCATATAAATTGGTTTGAAGCTGAGACAAACGGAAACCACTTTGCCATTTGAAACCCGTGGTGATATCATCAGCATACCAAATAAGATCGTGTGGGTCAATAGATAGGTTCCAAATACAGAAAGTGAAAGAAAAAAGAGCACAACTGAAATGACCACTAGCGAGTCAGAGGTTTTTCCAAGAAACATAATGAAGTGCGTTCTACCAATAGGATAGTGCTGGAGTAGCAATAGACAATCCAGCACGATGGAGTAAAGAAAAAAAAGCCTGCCCTGTCGGCTATTAAATGCA